TATTATAAATTAGTCTAACATGAGGAGAAATTTGAAATTAGGAAACTGCAGTTTCTATGTTTATCTGTGAGCTTTTCCTCTTGATGGACTCATTTTTAATGAAAGTATTTATTAAAATATTTTTAGTAATTTGTGCATGTGCACAACTCTCTTAAGTCAGTTAATGATCACATGACATGAATATTTCATCCTTTTTACTATTTTTAAAATTATTTTTAGTTTTTTATTCTTATTAATATAATTATTTTTACATTTTAAAAATTATTTTAAATTTTTTGTTATTAAATTTTTAGCATTTATCAATGCACAAACCCATTTGAGAAACTCTGATAAGGCACAAAAACATGGAAATAAACATTCAAATGCACCGTTTCAAAAGTACAATCACAAGATTCAAAATTATGCACGTTAACATGCCACTAAACACAGTCACTTTCACTTTGAATGTACGATTATACCTGAAAATTACACCTTTTTACATAAACACAAAATCACACACACACAGATCATATTTTAGACACTTTACAGCTGAAATAACACACTTTTATACTTTCATAAATTATCTAAGTCATCGAACATTTCTACCATTTTGTACCGGTAGTTATTTGGGAGCTTAAAGGCAATTACTTTTCAGTTAACTATATTGATTTTGCAGTGAGGTCACAAAATAACTAAACTAAACTGCACTATTTTTTTCTGTAGAGCTGCTTTATAGTTAAAATAGAAGTAATAATTAAAGCTGAATTAATTTAATCCTGACTCAACATTTTGCAACACCGTTTACAAGTGCAAAGTGATCTATATTGCATAAAGCACTATAGAAATGAACCCGATTTGACTTATTGTGGTAGTAGACATGATTCTACAGATTCTATTGATGGAGATTAACATCTACTGAAGCTAAAGCATTAATTTAACCACTGTGTGTGTGTGTGTGTGTTTATGTGTGTGTGTGTGTGCGCGCGTGTGTGTGTGTGCGCGTGTGTGTGTGTGTGTGCGCAGAGGCTCCACGGCAGTGGACGGCGCAGGCTTCGGTGTGGACCGACCCGCTGAACTCTCGAAGAGTGATGATGAGTTCGATGCTTTCCGTAAGAGGATGATGCTGGCGTATCGCTTCAGACCGAACCCTCTGGTGAGCCTCTCACGCACTCATTACCCATCAGCCATTTCAGTGCGTTTACACATGTTGTATTTCCATGAATCAGATGTTCTGGGCTTGTGTTGTATTAATTGTACCAGCCAAACGAACCGAACCGATCAGTAACACATCTCTTCTGTTTCCGCACAGAACAATCCCAGGAGGCCGTACTACTGAACCAGCAGCATCTCCTGTGTTTACTCATAACAGGTTGAATTATGATGTGCTTTCTTTCAGTCGTCACAGCCTCGAGCCCTTCGTGTGTTTCTGTTTGTTTATTTAAAGATGCTGATTTAGTACATTTATTCAAAACTGTAAAAGCCCACAATATAGTCAGCTGTGTAATCTAATATTAACATCGGTGCAAGTTCCTGGATTGTTTGTGTGTTGATGAGCACAGATATTACAAATGAAACCTCACGACTGCTTCGACCTGCACAAACCGTCTCAGTCATGTTGGGTTCATTACAGTCCTGATTAAACTCATCCCTGTGTCCTGGACTCTGTGAGATCAATTAAACGTCTGTGCTTTGAAACGCTGTGTGTGCTGCTTCTCCAGTTCAGCTGATGTATCCGTGGATCTTCATTCACCGTCAGTTTTACTGCGTTTAAAATCTGCAGCATACGAAGCACTCTGAGAATAAGATGCTTGTTGTGCAGTGAAATACTGGAGGATCTCAAACAGCGTCTGGAAGAAGTGAATCGCAAGCATTTAGATGTGTTTGTGAAATAATTAGGGTTTTCTAGGAATGATTGATTTATTTCACTGCTTGAATCATCTCTACTTTCACTAGCTCATTTTATATTGTCCTGTGGACAGATGGGGTTTTTAAAGTAGAAATCGTCCATGGAGTAAAACAGTTTATGAATCAGAATCAGGAAGAGCTTTATTGTTGTATGCTTGAACGAAAGGCAAGTATGGCTCCAGAAGCTTCTAGAAGAGACACAGAATAACAATGAGCAGTGTTGGGGAAAGTTAAGCTACTTTTAAAAGTAATGCATTACAATATTGCGTTACTCCATAAAAAGTAACTAATTGCATTACTTTAGTAGTTACTTGAAAAGTAATCTGATTACGTATCTCGCGTTACTTGTAATGCGTTACTACCCCCAACACTGACAATGATTAATGTCTAAATGTTATAATACAGTACGATTATAAAACATATTCCGTGTAGAGATTAAAGCGATATCTTGAGACTTGAAATTATTTCTCCCAATATGTGTGTAGAAGCCTCAGTTAAAGAAAAAAATTTTTTTTGATTGTTTTATAATTTTTTTATGGTATTTTGTTACGATTTTACTATAAGTAATAATTTATTTAACCAATTCGTTATTGAGAAGATTAAATGGACAGACAAAGCAAGCGAAAATTTTATTTATTCCTCATGGAATTGCAAATTAGATGTATTTATCTGTATACGCTGTGAAGTTGTCGACTATTGTTTTAAATGTATATCAGTTCTATATTTGATTTTGTAAAGGCGAGCGTCCCTCTCGCGAGATTCAGCCGAGCTCTCGTTCAGGGTAGGGCCGTGGAGCTCCTCTCGCGAGATTTGCCGCGCTCTCGTGTTGTTGTGGTGGTGAAGATGGCGGCAGGCGCAGAGGCCCCGGACTCCTGGTATCTCGCTCTGCTCGGTTTCGCCGAACATTTCCGAACCTCCAGTCCTCCCAAAATCCGCTTGTGTGTGCACTGCCTGCAGGCCGTCTTCCAGTTCAAGCCCCCGCAGAGAGTGGAGGCCCGCACGCACCTGCAGCTCGGCTCGGTGCTCTACCACCACACGAAGAACAGCGAGCTGGCCCGCACGCACCTCGAGAAAGCGGTGAGAGCGCGCAGGAAAGACCGAGGCCTCAGCCGAGCGACTAGGCCGCAGTCCCGGCCCGCGTTTTACAGTGTTATTATTATTGTTGTAAATAATTCATCCACAGATTCAATGATGGAATGTGCTATTGATGATGTTTTCGTGTTTTAAGGGCTTATTGTTGTAAAGCATATATAATAATGTGAGTCTTTTGAAAGAAGCTCTGTTGTGTTTTCCTTTCTTCTGTATTTGTTCTGTGGGATTATGGGATGTGCTACTGTAGAAACTAATATAAATATGACTTATGGTTCTCTTTCTCTCTCTATTTCAGTGGTTCATCTCACAGCAAGTATCCTTTACCACATTTGTGAAGCAAATGTCAAACTTGATTTTGTCCATTTGCGTTGAGGTTGTGGTTTGCTCTGCTGTAAGTGAATGAAGACACAGCTGTGTTACATGATGATAGCTAATGATCACGGTGTTTTATTGCGCTTTCCTTAGCCCAGGTGTGCAGGTAGCACAGTTTGAGGATGTTAAGTTTGAGGCGGCGAGTCTCCTGTCAGAGCTGTACTGCCAGCAGGTGAGTCTGATTCACAACACTTATATAATATTATTAGAATGTCAAACAGCTGCTCTCTATGTGAATATCTGTTAAACTGTAATTTATTTCTGTGATGCGCAGCTGTATTTTCAGCATCATTACTCCAGTCTTCAGTGTCACATGATCTTCAGAAATCAGTATAATATGCTGATTTACTGCTCAAGAAACATTTCTGATTATTATCAATGTGGAAAACAGTTGTGCTGCACAATATTTTTGTGGAAACTGTGATACTTTTTTCAAGATTATTTGAAGAATAAAGTTAAAAAGAGCATTTGTTAAAATATAAATCTTTTGTAACATTATACACTACTGTTCAAAAGTTTGGGGTCAGTATTATTTTTATTTTTTTAAAGAAATGAATGCTTTTATTCAGTAAGGATGCGTTAAATTGATAGAAAGTGATGATAAAGACTTATATTGTTAGAAAAGATTTATATTTTAAATAAATGCTGTTCTTTTTAACTTTTTATT